ACCTGAAATTCAGGAAACGTCATGTCGGCGGAACTCCGCTCAATGAACACAGGAACATTCTCGAGGCCGTTGCTCAAATCCACACGTGTGTCAACACTCATATCCAAAGTTTCTTTTTTTCAAATGAAACAGCAGCTGGTCAGCTGGGATGTGCAAAAAGAAAACAACCCAAACCCAGCAGCTGTAACTTCCGGTAGTTTAATGGCACGCTAGCTCCCCCTATAGGCGTGTTTGTGTTATTACATCGCTGTAATTATGAACCGTGGGGGTTTGACCATCTGGTCTCAGTCAGGACAAAAATGGGCAGCAGCAGCTCATTAAGGACAAATACTGCACAGCACGAGATAAGTGTTTCATCTAAACTACTGTGAGGGTGAAGCCATCTCACAGCATCACACCTCTTTATTCTGTTTTTATTTTACAGGCACAAGCAGTGTTCAGACAACGACAGTACTATCATGTGGCCTGCAGATGGCAGGACTAGTTAGGAAAAACACTGGGACTCCTCTTGTGAAGCCACGACTGAAATGAGAGAGACATAGATGTCTGGACAATAGGCAGAATCAATTAAAACAAATGCCACACACTTAAAATTGCATTAAAGTGGATACAATATGCTATCCTATCCTTCCGGTACACTCCCCTGCACATCCCTTCTATATTTCTTTATTTAAATACACCTGACACTTTTACATACACTTACATTATACTTGTTTGTAGTCCTGTTATCTGTTTGTTTGTGCACTTTATTTTACATTTTATTGTACATTTTAATTAATTAGTTAATGTTATGCACCACCCGCCATGTCAAATTCCTTGTATGTGCAACATACCGTGGCAAATAACCGGTTCTGATTCTGATTCTGATCCTTTTAAAAGGCTATACCCAAGTCTTCCTAAATGACGAAGCCCCCTTTCTCAAGATAAAGCACATTAAATGCCAGGGGAGCATATTCTGACATTGAAACATGGCCATGTGAGTATGTCTGTGGGAAGCTGTGGGTTCATAGAAGCCCAGACTGAAAGAAGTTCAGCTCCACAATTCAGCTGTGTTCGTTGAACTGTGGCGTCTACTGTCAGACGATTCCTGACTGCTGTTCAGTTATTTCTGCACTGAATGGTCTCCAGAGTAAAGAATGAATAGTCATCTTGTTTGAATGTCATTCCGGTTTTATTTGTTTTACACGGGGACACTGAAAGTTATGTAGAGTGTGTTTCCATGCCTACCCTTTCTATGATGTTGTGTAATTCATATGCAGTGGTTTATTCTCTGGTGGCTATCTGAGGCAGATGTGGGGGGAGGTCACATTGTCAGCTGGCATTTCCACGCTGAACACAAGTGACTGAGGATTCTCCTTTGAGAATCATCCTTCATCTTTGTCCTTGGGCAAAATGAGCGCTGTCAGTTGTTTGTCCTTCGGCTGGGTTTCTCATTTTGCATACTCAATCACAAGCTGAACCGTTAGAAGAAAATGATACAAGTACTTGACAATACACTTGACTGACAGTTTGTTCCACTGATTTGACAACAACAGAGGTTGGTGCTGGAAAGAATGTGGGCTTCATTACTCAACTGTTGTGCCGCACAGTCAGATCTTCCGAGATGAAACAGCTTTCGAAATACGTACAGACATTTGTACCATCTTAGTTGAGTGTGTTAGCATTCAAACTAACCAGCACTAACACAAGGTACAGCTCAGGCTGACAGGAATGTGATTTGTTTTATCGGATCAAAAAGTATTGGACTAATGCAAATTGCGACCTAACGTTGGCGCTAGTTGAAAACTCAGGGGATCGTAAAACTATTAAAAATTCATCCCGAGACATATCTGTACCAGGTTTCATGGCAATCCATCCAATACTTGGTAAGGTAGTTCACTCACACCCGCAAACGTCAATCTCATGTTGCTGCTATAGAGAAATATAGCAGAAATAGTGTAGATATTTTACAATATAAGTAAACACTTTGACCAGCTGGTGGTATTACAGGAAAAAAGTCAAAGTGTAAATAACTAGGATTCATCCAATGGGGATCAAGAATGTCTGTACACAAGTTAATGGCAATTCATCCATTTTGAAATAACGGTAGTGGACAGATTGACTGACTGATAATAAAATGTAACACATGTTTCAAGGGGGGTCTGTATGTACCAAGTGAACGTAGTCAACATGACGTCACAAATCAGTTTGTGAACCACAAGCAATTTGTCTGTTGCCATCTTGATCTTTGGTCGTCACCGTCACCGTCGTTTTTTTGCAACCAGAAGTGACATGATAGGTTGGAGTTAAGTGCAACCGAACACTGACTGAGACATTTTTAGGCAATCAAAAAGGTTTCAATTAAGTTTCATGATCTAAAACACTCAACACACACAAAAGGTTAAAGTTCTAAGACAAAAACACGAACAACTCCCAGACCGGACCATGGCCTGGTAGTGGACTGTCAATCACAAGGTAGCCCCGCCCTAAAGCACACCCTGCTTTATGGTCTATTTGGCACTAAATGGGACCATAATTTACTGGCCATTAGAAAGAATTCAAGTTTAAAGCACTTCAGTATTGGCTTCACTTCAGAAGGTTGCCGCCTGATCAGACTCTAGTTCATACATTCAGCAACTTATAATTGATAAATATTGAAAAATACATCTACCATCAACAATTTACAACATTTCTTTGTGATAACTTTGAAACAATTATGGGGAAATAACTTATTTTTAATTGGGCTCGGGAATGAAACTTTTTCACCCACATATTCTTGTGTTCATTAATTTCTTTGGGCCTTTAATTAAGGCCTGAATACTAATTCTGATGAGTGCATTTTTAAGGATTTGTTGAAAGAGTTGCATAATCTGCCTCATGTGCCCTCTATCTTACAGCAGTGATAACACTGCATTTTCCATTGCTCAATCTAAACATTTATGATGTGATTTTTAACGGCATTTTGAAGGTTTCAGGTTCATTTCGGGTGAGTCCCTTAATTGAATACTCTAACATATGTCCACTTGTTTTCCTATAGTCTTTAAAATGGCCTCTCCTGATGTATATAATATGACTTGACATTGTGGTACCCATTGTATCAATGGGGTGAAACAGCTTCCCTTGCTCCACACAAAGGCAGGTTGTTGGGGGTCTTTAATAAGCCCGTTGTCAAGGATCCTCTGGCTTTAATGAGAACACACACACACACACACACACACACACACACACACACACACACACACAGAAAGGAGCTGAACTTGCTGGACTACAATTGGTTGGGGAGTTAATGAACCAGAGGCATGATAGAGCATGTTCTCTGGGGAGATTATCAACAACAGTCCAGCACTCCCTCTGCTACTGTGCTGATTGACTTGGCCTCAAATTGGCTGCGATGCCTCACACAGCTCGGGGGGAGCTGCGCCGCAGCCTAGCGGATGCACTCTTGTCTGGTCCGACAGTGGGGAACAAAGGAAATTTCAAAGGTTTCCCTCCTCTGCCTTTGTCAGCCTGAGTAGGCATGATTATAATGAGTTGACCCCAGAGGTTTCAAAGGAGCTGTTTTTCTGACTACTCCACTGGGTTCATCAAAGGCCATCAAAGGCGGGGAAACAAACAGGGAAACAGAGAGGATCGGAAAAACTCAGGGATTGCATTTTGAAATCAAGGTGAAAGCACAGAAAGAAAGATCAGCGAGAAAGATTCAAATACACCAGCAAACAAAATTTCACTGTGTTCAAACTTTTGAGTGAAAACAGGACGCGCCCCCTGAAGCAGTCATCCCATGAGACTCTTATGGGTGCCTTCCTTCGCTGCCAGGCAACCGCAGTGACAGTGTGATTCACTGACATGACAAGATCTTGCGAAGGAATTAAGCGAGGCCTCGAGCCTCCCGAGGCAAGCAACATATTTAGCTCTTCCTTTTCGAGTTTGAAGAATGAATGAAGTTTGATAGAAAGGACCGTAAACAGATGAACAAGATTTGTATATCTTTATTGAAACTTTTTGCTTTTCTACCAGAGCTTGTGACAAAACACGGCAGAGTTATAATCACGTAGATTCTTGTTGGCATATGATTTTAATACAGATGATCTTCCCTACAAAACACATTGTGTGTAACAAACCGCTTTTCTGCTCAAAATGAGCTTCTATCTATTCTACACCTGTAATGCAAACAATAATCTATGTGAATATGAGCACAGTGGGGAAAAAAACATTTGAATGTGCTGACAAAAGTGGAAGGGAAAGTGTCAGTCATGTATAACAGGCCACCAAAGACACCCCAGGATCCTGGTTCACCACCTGTTCAAAAACAAAAAGAATATTGAATGAGATCTGGAAATTTGACACACTGTCTTTGTGTCATTTGAGATTATTTGTGGATAATATTTCAAAAGCTTAGAATCGTATTGGTAAATGGTAAATGGACTTGCATTGATATAGTGCCTCTTCCGTAGACTCAGTAGTGCTTTACGCTACATGTCAACATTCACCAATTCACACATTCATCCACTGATGGCAGAGGCTGCCGCGCAAGTGCCACCTGCTGATCAGGATCTAATACTCATACACACACACACACACACACACACACACACATCGATGGCATAGCCTTCGGGAGAAATTTGGGGGTTGAGTTTCTTGCCCAAGGACACTTCCGACACGTGTACTGGAGGAGCAGGGGAATCTTCTGGTTCAAACAAGACTACAAATGTTCAGGTCAAGTTCAGGACTTCTCACATGTTTTATACGGTATCACATTTCATGCTTCGTTTTCCTTTTTTGCTCTCACAAGTACAACATGCAGAAATACAAGTCTTGCAACGTTTTACAGAGTAAAAGGGAATAACAGCAGTGCATAATCTCCAGCGATCAATGCACAGCTTTCACAAACCAAGTCAGCCAGGTGTGTTCCCTGTAAAGAGGTTCTGCTCTCCCGATCCAATCAATACCAATTGTCTGCTCCCACCGAGCCAGCTATGGGTCAGCGTCTGTGTTTCAAATGAGGTGCAATAATCACACCTTCTCAGCGGGACCTGTCGTGCTGTGGAGAGACAGAAGAGTCTCTCCCCTCAGACAATCTGTTTGCTTTCGCTTTATTTAAAAGACATGTTCGCTGTGCCTTGTCAAACTCAGCTGGAACCTACGTTACATCAGTGTGAACCGTCATTTTCATTTAAAT